TTTTCTAGGGAACTCGGCTAAGACATACTCAGATAGGAAAACAGAAGGAGATGATCAGTTCTGTTTGGATATGCTGAGTTTGAGTTAACTTGAGTGAAAATTATTCATCCATTCAAAAATACTTATTGAGTGTCTCCATGGATGCTTGAATTAGGGATACTATGGTGAACAAAACAGACATATTTCCTGCTGTTTTAGAGCTTCCATTAAGTGTTAAGGGGTGACAAGTGATAATTCAGCACAGAATAAGTGGACATGATGATTCTACATAATAAAAGTTTTTAAAGAAAAAAATTTAAAGGTGATGTGATAGAGTGTGACACGTGTATGTTGGCAGGGGGTGCTAATCTAGAGAGGGTGGTCAAAGGAACAGAGAGTAAGTGGAGGAGAAAGCCTCTCCAGAGGGAGAGGAAAGGCTTTTGAAGAAACTGGCTGGAAGGGTGGCTCTGGAGACAGATATATATCTGCCCATCATTGGGGGTTTAGGCCTGGGTAGGAAATTTGCCTCTATTTTCACCATGAAATAGTTGGTGAGGACATATGCATAAAAAGTAATGGGAACTTGGAGTTTTGTAGAGCTCCGAGTTCAGAAGTGTCGTTTTGCAGCATGGGTGTGCGTGCAGACCAGGAACAGGAAGAAGAGTGTGGGCAGTGCTAGAGCAGAAAAGGCAGATACTACGTACACAATCGCTGGCACTAAGTGGTCACAGGACTTTGGAGAAGGAAGCCTGGGCCTCAGTTTCCTCAACTGCAAAATAAGAGCACTGAATCAGGCTCCATGATTTTACAAAGGCAAGGAGGAGTTGACATAAAACCTCTGTATAGCTATATAACTTACCTTTGAAACACCAGTGAAGTCTTTAAGACCCAGTAGTAATTGGCTCTCTCCCACCATTAATTACATTCTGGCCACTTGTCAGCTAATACAATTGTTAGACTCCTTCAGCAAAATGTCTGTTTCATAGCAAGGACCCTTTACAGTAAGGACAAACAATTGGGACTCATTAATTCCATAATTAGGACACTGCTTATGCATCTATTGTCTACTCTAGTCAGTAAGCTCTTCAGTCTTCATCAGAGCAATTATGCTAATATGCTTGAGATTTCCAAAGAGTATTATACCTTCATATACTTATCCTGCCTAGCAGCAGCCTGGCTCAGTCAATATTGTTAACCACAGACAATTATAATGAAGAAAGAAGGCCCTATTGTTGGCATATGACTACCAAATAATCTTCCCTCACAACAGAATTTTAAACAATTTGTATATTGTTCTTTCAGGGTTTAGACACTGGCCTCTGTTATTCTTCTTCCAAAATATGTAGATCTCAGATATTTAAATGCCTTTAAGGGAGAGCTCATTGCATTGGAATTGTATTGTAATTTTCCAAGCCATATTTGAACAGTCATTGGGTTATCCAATGGTCTAAATGATTATTTATCCATTTAAGTGTATAGATGAGAAATATAAGATGCCTGGAAAATAAGAAATATAATTTGTTTTGCATGTATGTTTCTATCAGAGCCAACTTCTCTTTTAATCTCTTTCTAATTATAAAAAATCCTACTTGTCTTATTTTCTCAAATGACTTTGGCCAGAGTGAGAATTTTCCAGTATGATCAATCAATGCTTCTATGGTAGGTGCATGAACACTTGTTAAATTTGAAGGTTTTTTTTCATATATGCCTTATTCCTGTCTCCTGCATTTCCTATCAGATGTGAAATACTAAAAACTAACGTGAATAATGATTGTGTGTGTGTGTGTGGGGGGGTGCACATGTTCATATCTGGAACATAAGTTCATTTGGAACCTGAAATTTCATTGTATCGATATAAAAACCTGGCTGGTGTTGGATTTCTTATCATTTACAATAAAAGTAACCCCACAGATTTGTTCTTTACAATTTTTACTTAGAAGATCTCATTTAACCAGTGTCCTTTCAGCTGCAAATAACTGGATGTTTCCTTAAGATGTAGTAATGCTCCCTACAATTTAATCCCATAAAGATGAGCAAATGTATAGCTCTGCTGTTGAAAAGAGACCCAACAGTTGTATGGAGGGCCACTGTAAACAGGAAGAATGGGTGCAAAGCTGTGTAGAATGTTTGCAGACCTGTGACACATGCTTTCCTTTTATACAAATGCTGTATTTTACCTTTCTTCAATTACTTAGTGCTTTGGTAAGGGTAGGGGGAGACAACTGAGAATAAGTTGTCCTTGTCCTTCAGGGATTTACATTCTAGATGGGGAGACAGTTTGTATACACAGGAGAAGCTAAATAAAACTGTTCAAGACTAAATGATCAAGATATTAATCAAAATGAGGTAATGGTATGTATATCATTGTAGTTATAAGAGAGAAAATTCATATGTGAGTGACACAGCTTTAGGCTGGGGAAGCCAGAAAGGACTTTAAAGATTTACCAGAGGGGAGATAGAGTATGAGTTGTTTTTTGAAAAATCACGACTACATTTTTTAAAACATCAAACTACAGAAGAAATAATGATGAAATTTAAGTTTTCCACTTACAACCCTCAGGCTCTTTCCAGAAGCAACCACCATTATCATTTTTATGTGTCTCTAGTGCACTTAACCACTTTTGAACTGGATTCTGAATTGATTTAGATTTAATTGATTTTGCTGTGTCATGTGTAATGAAGGGTTAAACTTGGTCTCTATCCATATAAAAATAAGACTCACTCAATCTAATTTATACAATAGGGACCTACTGCAAGATCTTGAGGTACCCTAGTGGATTTCCAAGCTGTTTGTTGCCATGGCAATCCCTGCTCTATGTGCCTTCAGTTTCTGTCTTGACCCACTTTGGTTTAGATGCATTTCTAGCAGAGGGGACAGTAGGCAGGCTCCCATTTCTAAGCCCCTTGGGGATTGCATTGGTAGCCAGATTGTCCCTCCTCCCTCTTCCTCAATTATAGATATCCTGGAAGGTTTCCTAAATGAAAGAGTTCTGGACCCAAAGTCTCAGACTTTGGAGAAAGGGTCTAACTTAGACCTCAGGCATACTACCCACTCAATTAATGTAACCTCAAAGTACCTAACTCCCACACTGGGAGCACATTCTTCTGGAATCCCAGCTAGGCCTGCTTTTGTTCCTATTCCTACTATTCAGGTGGACACCGAAATCCACACCCTGTTCACACAGGAAAGAATAGTGGTGTGACCAGGGCAGCTTTTAACATGCTACTTCATATTACAACTGTTGACTTGCATTAGCAGGAAGACAGATCCAAAACCAGAAAGCCTTCCTACTTTTAAGTTGAACAGCCTTTGCCCTGTTCAACTAGGGAGGATGGCCTAGACCATCCTCCCTAGTGGCTCTGGAAAGAGGAAACAAGGCAGAGGAGGTGGGACAGCTCCACCAATTAGCTTCCTGGGTTTCCTTCACAAACCTTTTATATTAAGGGGTTAGTAGAGCTGCCTCTAAACTAACAATGGAAGAAACCACCCTGGAAGGAAATATCTGGAGGAAGAATTTCTGCTGAGTAGGTTTGTCTTGGCATAAATGCATGCATGCAACAGAAGAGAAGTTAATGATCACAGACTTTCCTTGAACTTCAAAGTCCTATGCTATTTATTTTCATATTATTATTTAACCATCACACAACTATATTTAAGTAGGTATGGCTGCAGTGAGTTCCATTTGCCAAAGATTAGCTATGGAACAGAGCTGCACTCAAAGCTACAATGTGCCTGATTCCTGGGTTCATGCTCTTCCTCGAAACTTTCGCTTGAGAAAAGTTCCTCCATGGTGAGGAGATGGTGGAAAGGACAGAAATTTTGAAAGGACATCTGGAAAACCTGTCTCAGGGGATGGCCACATCGCTCTTAAGATCCATCTGAAGGCACCCTCCTCTGGGACACCTTCATTTTTAAGAAACAGTATACTTCAAAAACTCTTATTGTTCGAAGTGCTCATTTGGTACTTCCTGATTACTGATTTGTATTGCTAGTGCTTCTTTCCAGCTTGTTTATCTGAAGTCCCCAACTGAACCTATAAAGTAATCCAGTTTCTGGACAGGCAGCCAAGAAAACTGTGTTCTAGTCTTGTCTCTGGCACCTGTGTGAGACCTAAGTTTCTTTTCAACTTTAGTTCTACGATGCTCCCTGCCTGTGTCACAGTGGGTGCACAGTAAATACTTGATGTCCTTAGTTGGGCTCAATACTTTGTCTGCAGAGGCTTGGGTGTTCCTAAGGGTAAAAGCAACAAGCTTTCCCCTGGGTGCAGTTATGCCCGGGGCAGTCGTAAGGGTAGGGCCTGCTGCCTCCTGTAAGCCAGATGTGCAGACCCGGGCCTAATCGCCGCAACAGTGGAGAAAGGGGGAAGGGAAGATAGCCCAACCATTAAGGGGCATTGTGACAGGAGTTTCTTTTAGACTTCACAAAGACCCTTCCGGACATGCATTATTGATACCATTTTTACTGAAGAAGGAACCAAGATTCACGTTAAATACTGACACCTGGTATACCCTGCCCGGGTCTAAGTGGTCTCCAAAGACCTCAGCTCCGGGCTTATTTACATCGCGAACCCGCTCTCTTCGGCAGCACGAGGGCCCCGCCCACTCATTTGCATAGGGCGCACCCAGTTGCAGGCCGGGTCCGCCGGCTTCTCCAGAACCCGTCTCCCAGGCGCGTACTCTGGGCTGCCCCGGGCCTCCCCGTGGCAAGAGCACGTGTCCGCCCCGGCCTCACGACGGACGGTGGACGAGGCGGCAGGCCCCCACAGGACCCACCCTACAGCGCTGGCGAGGGACTCGGCAGTTGCCGGGGATCGTTTTCTAGCGCGACAAGGCACGGGCCTCTCCCTCCCCACCCCCGAGCCCCGATGGGAGCGCGCTGAAGCCCAACTCAAGCGAAACCGCGGGCGTCCCGCCCCGCCCGGCCGCGCCCCGCCTCGCCTCACGCTAGACGGGGGAGGCGGGACCAATCAGCAAGCGACGTCTCCCTTCCGATTCGAGGCCCCCGACGCGCGGCTCACACCCTGAGCTCTCCGCGTGCTGATTGGCTGCGGGCGCCGCCGGTCCGGCCGGGAGGCGGGGCGGGCCATAGGCAAAGGGAGGTGGGGAGGCGGTGGCCGGCGACTCCCCGCGCCCCGCTCGCCCCCTGGCCCTTCCCGCGGCGCTCGGCCTCGTTCCTTTCCTCCTCCGCTCCCTCCGTCTTCCGTACACGCCCCGCGCCGCGCTCGGCCAGCGTGCCTCGCGCCCTAACGGGCGGCTGGAGGCGCCAATCAGCGGGCGGCAGGGTGCCAGCCCCGGGGCTGCGCCGGCGAATCGGCGGGGCCCGCGGCCCGGGGTGGCAGGCGGGTTTACCCGCGCGGCCGCGGCGGCGGAGGAGCAGCTCGCCAGCCAGCAGCCCGCCAGCCGCCGGGAGGTGGGTGCGCGGCGGCCGGCGGCCGAGGGCGGAGGGCGGAAGCGGAGGTGGGTCGGCGGGGGAGGGCGCGGCCGTGCGGGCGGCCGAGAGGGCTGCGGGCGCGCGCCTCAGGGGAGGAGGGGCGGCGCGGGCGCGCGCGTCCTCACCCGCTTCTTCCCCGCGGGCGGCGGCCAGGCCCCCGCCTCTCCCCTCCCCTCGCGCGCGCCGGGGCGGCTGGCCGGGCCCGGGCCTGGGGGCGGGGCGGGAAGACGGCGGCCGGGAGTGTTTTCAGTTCCGCCTCCAATCGCCCATTCCCCTCTTCCCCTCCCAGCCCCCTCCATCCCATCGGAAGAGGAAGGAACAAAAGGTCCCAGACCCCCCGGATCTGACGGGGCGGGACCTGGCGCCTCTGTGCAGGTAAAGCCTCGGCGCCCGCGGGCCTCGGGCTAGGGGTGTGTTTGTGTGCGGCCGCGGCTTGGGGCGATGGGCCGTGTCACATGGCCGCGGCGGGTGGGGGCTGGGGTGTGGCGAGTTCGGGGGCTGTGGGTGCGCGGGCCCGGTCGTGCGGGTTGGGGGCCAGAGAACCCGGGAGGGACGGGGCTTGGCGGTCGGTGCTGCCGCCCAGCCTGGCGGGGGCGGGGGATGCCTGCGTCCCTTCCCCTCGCCGCTCACACGCTCCATAGTTTGTGGTTCTGATTTTTAAAGCCGAAGGACCAGAGCTCTTGTTTCAGGAGTTGTGGGGAAAGCTGTGTTAGGGGCGCCTAATACTTTGCTTCCACTTTTTTTTTGGTCCGGTAACCTTTGTTAACCATAGTAGTCTCGGGTTTTCCATGGCTTGTGTATACTCACAAACACGCACACAGCTGATACTCTGTGATCATCCTTCACTCACTTGTGAAAGTTGTTCTGCGGGTGGAGCCTATTAGTTTTTATCACACGCCTTTGGAAAGCCCTCTGAGTGATTTCACGTATTTCAAATTTGGTTTTCAAAATTGCAACTTACTTTGTTCTCTTGGAGGGGGATACTGTCCTTGGGTCAAGTACTTTTGTCTTTTACTTATCCTTACGATTTCCTTTTGATCCTAAACAGAAAGAGAATACCTGGGTTGGTTTTGTTATTCCTTCCTCTTGACCCTTTAAAAGCAAACCACCACGAGTGTAGTGTCAACCATACCTTTAAAACAACAACAACAACAAAAAAAAATCCTCCAGGTGAAACGAATTTGTAAGCAGCATTTTTCCATTAGTCCTGGCTTGTTTGTTAACAGTTTTTTTTTTTTTGGTCGGGTAACCTTTGTTAACGATAGTAGTCTCCAGTTTTCCATGGCTTTTTTGTACTCACAAACACGCACACAGCTGATACTCTTAAATTTTGGTGTGTGAAAATTTTAAAAAGGTATGTGTAAAATAATTGTTAATAAATAAATAACTTGGAAGTAATTTCACTTTTTTAGAAATGGTCCTTGAAATGCGAATGAATTTCCAAAATTCCTTTTCTCTCTTATGACTTCATATGAATTGAACCTGATAGGTTTGTATGAATGAATCACTGATAGGATGTTTTTCTTGAGCCTAATAATAAATTTGCTCTTATTATGCTGAAAATTTGCTCTTCTGTTTTAACCCCCTCTCAGAAAGTTTGCGTCTTACATATAACTTAGTCAAATAGTTAAATGGAGTTTCAACATTTTTTAATGCATGAAATAGTGAAGCAAATGTGGCAGAGATGTGAGAAAGAACTTAAAATGGGCTTCATAAATGTATCATAGTTTGAGGGTTTTTTAAGAATTTGCCTTCAGAAAACCCACACAAGATATTTAAAGAATTTCCTCTGCCAAAAGATCATTTAGCAAACGTTTCTATTAAATTCAAAAGTAATACTTTAATTTTTAAAGTTCCTTAGCCTTTGCGGTAAACTTGGCTGTGGTAGTAAATATAAATAGTTCACACCTTTGGGCATTTCTAAAGCGAGTACCCACTTATACACTTACTCTAAATATTAACTGGATTTAATTGAGTTCAAGGCAGTTCTCTGGCCAGGTTTAATTAATGGAATGTGATTAGAAATGTTCATTTTGGGGTTTTAGTAAGAAATTGCTGTTACAGCTTGGTTTTTATGCTTTGCCACACCTTCTAAAGTGCAGCTACAAGCGTCGTAGGTGTTCAACAAAAGTTTGGTGTTTCCAAGGTTGTAACTACGTGTACTTAGTCATAAGTGGTCATGTCTCCACAGAGTCTGTAAGCCTCATGAAATAATAGTCTTTTAAGAAACTGTGCAGGGTAATTTCCTGTTGTGTGTGTCTTATCAGGCTTGGTATGTTTTTAACTCTTATGTAGGAATATTGGCGATGGTTTTGTGTATTTCAACAGAGCTTCTCTTTAATAGGAACAAAGGTTATTTCTATTCTACTTCAAGATGGCAAGAGGTTGTCCCCTTTTCATTTTTACATAATAAATATTAGAATCATGTTGCTATAATCTTGTTACTTCACATTTGGGGGAATATATTTGAATGGAAAAATTCAGTTTAGCTGCATAAACTGCTGGCCGAAGACCTATTGAATTTTTACATTTTGCAAATGGAGATTTCATATTCTTGGGACAAGAGTCATTTTTAGAGGGTGAAGGGGTTCATGTCTTTTAAGATTCCTAGTCTTTTGATGTGTATAGAACAGCTATTTTTAGGCCCTTAGTGTCTGTAAGAGGGAAGATGTTTTCCTCTAAGTTTTGCAAAAGTGTGTCAGAAAATGTGAAATGCAAAGAATTCCAAGCCAATTTAGGAGAGGTATGTATTTATTCAACAAATAACTTGTATTGACCAAGTAGCATTTATTCATCAAACAGCTTTTTCTGTGAGTGGGGCTTTGGTCTGGGCAATAAAGTATCAGCAAAAAAGTACACCTCTTTTCCTTAATGGAATTATAAAAGTGGAAAATCATGTCCATTGCCCGATTCTCCAGTGTTTAGAGTAAGAAAATCGTTAGTGTGCAAGCTGAGGGAGCATGTGTTACTGAGCGATTCCTCAAGTATGCTGGCCATGCTTCCTATCACATGTAGTGGGTACAGCACTGGGGAAGATGTGAAGTGTTAACTCAGTGTCACTGGGAACAGTTGATGTGTTTTGGGGGCGAATTGGTACCAGTTTTGCACAGTCTATATAAACAAGATATGGTCAGTCTTTCAGAAACGTTTATTGCTGAACAGATGTACACTTGCAGAGCTAAGCTTCATTTGGCCTTAATTTGATTACTTATTGCCCTTTAGTTACAGAAACTGGTTAAGGAAAGAAAGCAGACTTGAATGAATCAGGTTCCAGTGAAGGGATTAGGAATAAAGTGTAAAAACAATTAGTTATACTGAGAACCAGAATTGGACAGCAATCTCATGTAGTGCAAAGGCCTTGGGTTTTGGAATCACAGAGCCCCTAGGCTAATACTTTGTTTCTCGGTTACTGCTTAATCCTTGACGCTTGGTTTTCTGAGAGAAAATGGAAGTAATAACCCCTTCTTCTTATTAAGTGATCACAATTAAAGTACCTAGAACATTACTAAGGGTCCCCTTAAATGACCTCTTCCTCTCTTGTAGTTGTGAGTTTGTTACTTGGGTTCTTTCTAATCAAAACGATTTGCCTACACTGTTATTATTGACCTATTAAAACTTATTTGAGCAGCAGACAGTGAACAGCAAAGGCTTGGGATAGCCAAATTGTCCCAGTCTGCAGCTTAAAGCTTAGGAGAGCCTTGGGGACCCCTGATAAGAATGTGTTGGCATTTATTTAAAGTGTTTCTAGCAAGCAAAGTTATCTGGCTTCTAAACCTGCACTAGATTAGAAACAAGTAGATTATGGGTACTGTGGGAGGTTTAAAGGGGGTGTGGTGGGGGTTGGATAGTAGGATGTTAGCCTAGTGTCTATTGTAAGAAAAAACAGATAACAGCCTAGTGAGGATAATAGAGATAATCTACAAGACACAAAAATAGTCAAAGCCTGGCTAGCATGTCTGGGGCCATTCCATGCAGGACCAGACCTGAAAGCATAGTAATGAATGTTCATCAATTAGCTTAAATCATGTTTGGGAAAATCTTTTTAAGAGTGCAGTAATCTACATAATACACTTTAGATTGTCACTCAGGATGATTAACAAATGTTCTTAAAGGGGTAGAAGATTGTGCTATGGCTTATGACTTATTTCATGAAAGATCCACAGTACCTGTTATGACCAAGATGTTTTTTGTTTGTTTTGCCATTCAAGCAGCCATTCAGATTCCAAGCTGAAAGGGTAGCCAGCAGTAAAGGAAGGCTGTCTCAGTGTGGTAGCACCCTATGCCACCCCTTTCTTCGAAGTAAGTAATTTTTTTGTCAGTCTGCAGGAGTATCATACAAAATTTCACTAGTGCTTTGAGAATAGTGTATGCTTTTCACTGTGCTTTGTGATAGAGTATGCTGGAGATTTCTGCGACAAAGCAGGAGAGGATGGTTGGCTGATCTCTCTGTTGAGGGTTTCTTGACTCTTGTAATGTGACTTCTGCCCAGTATTAGCATTGATACTTTCTTTGATCCCCTTTCTTCTAACCTTACCTCAGGGTTACTTTTTAAACCATCTGTATCATCAGATAATTATGGGTAACCTTGTAATATGTTGCCTAGGCTATTAAAAATTGGATTTTTTTTTTTTTTTTTTTAATCAGTAGTACAAAAGTAATCTAGCCTTTTTGGTTTAAAAATGCATAGAGTCCTATTGCTTGCCATTGATCAGTTTTGATCACTGTTTTCAGGTTGGTATAATTGTGATATATTCAGGTAGGACGTAATTCAGTGTTGATTCTAGATTTACATCTCAAAGATAGCTCTCAGCCTCAGTTCAGCAGTTTCGTGTAGAGAGAATGTAATTTTTTCCAAGCCGGGTAGATTTAGACACTGCCTTTAGTTTGATTAGGTAGCCAGAAATTTTAGGGCGATTCTGTTTTTTCTGTGCTTGCCTTACATTGTACAGTGTGAGTGGTTCTCCTTGGCTCAGTGGCTCAGGTACTTGATGTATTTAGGTTTGTACTCTTAAGAAAACAGAAATCCTACCATGATTCATTCTTATCAAAATTTGTGAATTTACTGTGAAATTGTCACTAATTCTCCTAGGTAGCTCTTTTTTTTTCAAAATCTGGTTTTACATTGGCTTAAAGGCTGTAGAGCAGTGGAAAGCTAGGATAGACTTTAGTTGCTTGTTTAGTGCATGTGTCTACCTTACATGTAAAAATTTGCATTTCCTTGAATAATCTACAGTGCTATACCTTCATACCTTCATTCTGTGGGGAAGGGGGATGTAGTTTCAGATTTAATGTATTCAGTTAATAAGAAAGAGTAATCTTTGGTGAACCACTGGTAGTCCATCTGTTCATTACTTTTAGTCTCTTAAGTCAAAAAA